AACCCGGTGCTGAGGTTACGCCCGGAAACAGGACAAGAGGAAGCAGGTGCGAACTGCGTCTCCTCAAGAGGGAGAGTGACCCAGAGCAGCTGAGGAACCCAAGCCCTACCCTGAGGCCACCTGGTGCCCTGACCCTGCTGAATCCAACACCAGGGCTACCTGGCCTGGGGGCACGTCAGCTCTAGGCTGGCAGGACTGGAAGCCCTGGGCTGGGGTGTCAGACTGACCTCCAGCCCAGGTCTCGGAGAGGACACGTCGTTGCACACTTGGCCACAGACGGCCCCACGGAACAACGTTCTGGCTAAGACCGCCTCTCCCCCGGCCCCTGCCTGTGCCACCAGCTTGACACACTCCCACCTCACCCTTCAAACTGTCCAAGTGATTCTCGGCCTCCAGAGAGAATCAGTGCTCCTGCCACCATCCTTTCTCCACACACGGGGCATTGCCCCTGCCAGGTCTTGACCCACCTTCGAGGAGCCCTCCTCCCCAGGGTCCTTGCAGGTTTCTGCGGACTCCCAGCCTCCTAGTCCCCCAGGTGAGCTGTGCTTGGGTGTCCAGTGCGCTCCCCTTCCTGTACCAACCCCGCCTAAAGTGCCCCTAGCCAGTGTCACGTTTGAATCCCAAGGATTTCAGGAATGGCTGGCACTCTGACACGTCCAACCGCACCTACAGGCTTACCTCCTTCTGAAGCCATCCCCACGGGCAGGGGATGTGGCTGCCTGGCAGCCTCCACAGTGAGAAAAGTCACGTCCAGGACCCACACAGCGAGCTGCTCCAGGAGATGCTCAGGATCCAAGTCAAGGAGGGAAAAGTTTGAATCTAAACAGGGGCAGAATGCAGACTCATGACATTCTTCAACGGGGGAGGGGCGGAGGGCCACTGACCTGGGTGGGGGTGGGCAGACATTCCATGAGTCAGGCTCTGGCAGGTAGGCCAGAACCCCAAGCTCCTTTCAAATGATACAGACAACACGATTGGGGGGTGCCTTTCCAGGCCGTTTATACACTGTTTTCCAGATTCACAGCACCAAGGTGTGACTCGGTGCTCCTTTGGTTCGATTCTGTATCCAGCAACCTAGGTTTGCGTCCTCGACCCACTCCGCTTCCTATCTGGCTCTTGACTTATTCAACAGGGGCTGAGCTTTCTGGACAAAACTCAGAACGGATATTCTGACGAACACATGGGTCCTTAAGGCCACATGGAACTGAGGGTTTCAAATCAGCATTGTGCCAGCAGATCCCGTGGGTTTGGCTGCACATCAGTCTTCTGCTGTGGGTGCTTCTGTGCCCAGCGCCCCGCAGTGCTCGAAGCCGTGCAGACTCCAGCAGGACCGGCCTTACTA